AAGAATAAAAAGTGACCAGGAAAGACCAGAATGATCACAATAAAAGCGCATTTATTGTCGTTAAGATAAAAACCAGCAAGACAAAAGGAGCCGAGGGACAACCAGCTCATAGCCAGGTTAGCGTTAAAGCTGTGTTAAAGATAAAAGGGGGTCCTTTCCAAACGATGAGTTTTTTCCATTTGAAAGTGTTTATTAATCTATTCTCTCTGAAGCAAAAAGTTCAAGGAAAGACAAAGATCAAAAGTATTTTAATTCAGGTGAAAATTCTGTTTTTTATCTTTTGGGGGCTTTTAAACCAAACCAAAACAAAAAGCAGAGCATTGCAGGGCATCGCAGTTTATTCTGCTCCAAGACTGACACTTGCTGGGGAGGACAAGGGAATCTCAACCACCCTATTGTCAACCAAGCTGTGCCTGGAAATTCACTGTTCCCCTTTCCTGACATCCTTTCACACCCTTCCCTGGACAAGCCTTCGCAGCTCACTTCATTTCCTCACTGCTATAAAACACATGGGACATTTGAGTCGCATATGAACCTCGATACACCAGGATGCTCTGATGGTATCAGGGAGGTGGGATGGAGCCCCAGCCACGCTCACACCCCTTATCCTCTTCCCACTCATATCTGTAACCCAGCCAGAGACACGTGTGCCTTTGCCCTCTTGGGTCTGCCTGAAAACAACCACAGCTCCCAGTGCTGGGTCTCTTTGGACACTGCTGGACCAGTTTCATGCAAGCTCTGCCTCACCAAAGACACACACCACAGAGACATCACTTGAAAAAGCAGGCAGTGATGTTCAAAATACAGACGTTCCAATGGTAAAGTCCTGCTTTAAGGGACCAACTTTTCACACTAAGATCCCAGGCTGTTAGCCTGGACCTTCCTGACCCAGAAACCTTCTCTGCCTGCCCAACCCCACCTGTAAAACTACAGCAAGGCCTCCCAGAACTGTTGTGGTGATGAGCAACCTCAACAACAGAAAAACACTAGTTTTGTGCTGTATTTTTAGCTCTTTTTTCCTTAAAATTCCAGCTTGTGTCTTCTATAATAGAGTCCACACAAAATCCACAAAACATGTTGAGGATTTCCTCTATCCAGGTGTTTTTCTCATATTTACAGTCTTTAAACATATGTGTTCAATACGTGTTCATGCCCGAGATGTCCTCACCTCAGGGCCCACCTCCAGCTATTCCCATGGCACTAAAACACACACACAAGATGCTACAGCAAAGCAGCTCTGAGAAGCCATGAGATGCCACCCTACACTGCTGCTGCCCTGCAGGGGAAACACATGGAACCTGAACCAGGAGGAATCTGCTCTTCACCTTCCATGTCCCAGCTCCATCCCACAGAGCCAAACCACCAGCAGCTGCTCCCAAACTCAGCACAGGCAAACACTGAACTTCCAGGAATTCCTTTCAATGGATTAACCTGCCAAGAGGGAAACTTCCTTCTTCCAAACAGACACAAACTCCTTTTCTCCTTGGTGAATAGATTTGCAGGGAGATGGGGTGACAGATTTCCCTCCTGCCTCTGAAGGAAGCAGAAGGGATGTCCCAGCCCTGCTTTTTGCCACTACTCCTGGCTACCAGATCCCAGAGCAGAAAACCCATTCCACCCTAGGAGCAAGGTATTTTATGGTATCTCTCCCACCCCAGAAACTGCACAGTATATCCATATCATCCCTATTCTCCATTCACACCATAATCTCCTCTCTAAGGACTAGGTGCAGGATCAAGTTTCTGCTTTGCAAAGGGAAGCAGCCTCAGAAGCAATAGAGAATATCTGAAGAGGAAAGGAATATTTTAAGGCGAGGAAGATGGAAAAGATGGAAAGGAGAAAAGGTGCTGAAAGAGCAAGTTTTCCTGACAGCAACTTCTCCCTGTCCAAGCTGGAAAACCACCTGGGAACTGAGAGGATGAGTGGGAATTAATCCCAGCCTGATAACCCTACAGGGGCTGTGTGAAAGGGGTTATGTCCTAAAAAGACAAATAAACCTGGAATGTGGGACACCTGAGCCTCCCTGCTGCTGTCAGCATCCCCCTCTGCACAGCCAGGGAGTAACCAGCGTAAGTAAACAGCTCAAAGAAGGGATTTATTGAGGGAAGGATAACAACGCTCCATGGTTTATTCTCAGCTCTTGAAGTTTACAGCGTGGATTCTCCACCCGCAGCTCCCATGTATAGGAGGAACAGCTATAAAGTGACGCCAGGAGATGTTCTTTGTCATTAAGGAAAGAGCTCTAGCAACTAAGCTACACAGTTCACAAGTGTAAAAACAAGTCCTATTTACAGCCCAACACACGCACACAAAGCAAAGGGGAGGTGGGGCCTTGCCCCCTCTTTGCCATTAAACTCTCCCATCTGACCTCCTAGCAGTACAGCAATGCTTCCCCCAGCTCCCTCCCCCTTCCCATGGCTCATTTCAGGTCTTCTGGGAAGCCCGGCCCAGCCGTGGCATTTTCCCCTACACTCCAGCCTTTACTGTAAACCTGCTGCTTCTCCCTCCTCGCCCTGCTCTTGGGGGGCACAGGGTCCCCCAAGCTTTCCAGTGAGGCAGACACCAGCACCCCTTGCAAACCAAGCGCCCCCAGGTTGCTCTATCCCTCACCAGACAGGGACCGTTTTGCATTGCACTGATTTTGGGGGTCTCAGGAGGATAAACTCACTTGCTCACCCTCCCACCCCAAGCACTGATGCAGAACCAACGTGGGATTTGGGGGAAGGGAGAAGTTTGTATCCCCAGGCTCCAAAGCTGTGCAGTTCAGCCCATGCAGGGTGCGCTGCTCCCCACACAGCCCAAGAGCAGCAGCGTGCCCCATTGAGAAGCCAAGTTTGGAAGCATCACCCCAAAGCCCATGTGCCTGGGAGGGGAACGGGGCAGGGGGGGGACTTTATCACTGTCTGCTAAGATGGCAGCTGCTCTGACGCTGAACTACGTCTTGCAAAGTCAGCCCTGCCCTCAGCATCCGACTGCTGGGAACCACGGAGGGGGGGAGAGAAGGAAGGGGGAGGTTTGGATTCTCACTCACTCCTAGCCCAAAGCGGAGGGGACACCCCTGTCCCAAAGCCACCAATGCCAGCCTTGACATTGACCTGAAGCACTGTCCCACAGTGGGACACCCCTCAAGCCGTGCCAAGCCCCATAGACCCCCCCCCTTGCAGGGGTTGGGAGCTGTATTCCTGGCTTTCCTACAGCCCGAGGCGCTCCCACTCCCCCCAAGCACTGCTACTGGGGTTGGAAATCACAGCCTCTTACTCAGGGATGTGCAGGGGACAAGTGGAAGCTGCCTGCTCGGATGGGACCCCTGGGGAGTTGCCACCCACAGCCAGGGTTGGTCCCCCTCTGCTGCAACACCACCCGGGGCAGACCCGGACCTGCTGCTCTGGGATACACAGACCCCAAATCCACCGGGAGACAAGAGGCAGCTCCCGCCTGCTTTCAGGGAAGGGATAAACCCAACTTTGTGGAGTTTTCCTACTCTTCTCGCCCCTGTGCAGTGGGGAACCCACAGCCCCTGCAGCACTCACAGGAAAGGAAATACAGTAAGCAAAAGTGAGTTTTCCTTGGCCTTCCCGAGGGAGGAGAAAGCAGGAAGGGAAGGGGAGAAGGGGACAAGTTGTGCCCGGGCCGCAGCAGCGGGCGATGGTTTGCGCTTTGCACAACACGCGCCTGCTCCAATCTGCGCCGCTCGGGAACAATAAACAGGATCATACAAAGAAGTGGAAAGGCGGCATCTTTGCTTCTGGTTTCTATGACAGCATCAGAGACAAACCAACTATAAACTCTAATTCCTGGATTTCTCTCCCCCCCACACCCCCCCAACCCCTTTTGTCTGCCATTAATTAAAGTGGCCATATGGAAAAGGCTGATAATAACAGCAGATGAGGCAATGAGAGAGAGGGAAAGGGAAAGAAAGAAGAAATAAATAACTCAAAGTAGCAGCAGGGCGATGGTGAGGATTTAACTGAGGGTTTGCACTTGTTTTCAGTGGCTGCTCAGGGCAAAGGGATTCAACAGCACTGGGGGGAGCCAGGATGGGGGGGGCAGAAGGCAGCCTGCTCCTTCCCCTGCCCTACAGCCGCTCCAGGGGGGACTGGCATCATCCAAGTCCCTTCTCCAAAGGGACTGAACCCCTCAACCCACCCCTTTGTATGGGTGAGCCCCCGAGGGTACTGATCCCCCCCCCCCGGGAGGGTCTGTCCTACCCACCAGCAAACTGCACCCCAAACTCAGTCAAACTCACCAGGGTCAATCACAGCACAAGCACTTCCTCAGGACCCCTGTTCCCTCCATGCTTCCCCCAAAATCACCCACAAAACAACAGCAGCAACAACAACAAAAACTTTGCTCAAATTGATAACGAGATTAGCCAAGCAAAGCCTCTTCCCAGCTAAAAATAAGAACCCGCAGATTTCAGTCGTGGTCAACGTATAGAGAGAAATCCACCAACATGGCACACAGCCCCTGGTCCTCGCTGCTATAAATAGAGAACTCTGAAGTGGCACTGGGGGAAAGGGGAAAAAGAAAGATAAATAAAAAGAGGAATAAAGAGGAGTCTGCCAGGGGCAGGAGCAAACCCCAAGCAGGAGACCCAACGGGCACCACCAGCGCTCCGCACATGCATCCGGAGCTCCCCAAAGACCAAGGAGTGGGAGACAGCAGCCTGGGGTTGGAGTTTCCGTAGTAAAGGGGTTGGGAGAAGGGGAAGGAGGGGGCAGAGAGGGACGCGCGGAGCCCCGGCCCCACACCGCCATCAGCACCTCCGAGAGCTCCGCCGGAGCGTCTTCTGCTAACCCTGCGCACGCTTCCCTCCGGCCGAGCATCCACCGAGCTCGCGGTCCACACACCCGGCAAGCATCCTCTTCCAGGGGGAGTCACAAAGTTTCCCGGCTGAAGGCAATGTTGGGCTTTTTTCTTCCCTCTCCTTTCTTTTCCTCCTTTCCACCACCCCCCCCACACCCCCCTTTTAACAAATCTCCTTTCTCATCTTATTCAACCTCTTTCCAGTCAGAAGCGGATCCTGTCCACTCGCGTCTCGCAGCGAGCGAGCAAAGATGGACCTGGGAGCGTGATGGTCATGGTATAAAAAGAAAATCCCCCTCGGTTCTCCGGTGCAGTTTTCCAAACAACAAGCCAGGCTCCGTGCTCTAAAGGCGAAACGCCTGCGTCTGTTTACATCGACTGCGCGCTCCAAAAGCCTTTCCCCTCGGTCTCCATCCAAGGGAGGGGAGGGAAAGGGGGGAAAGAAAAAGAAGGGAGGGGGGGGGAAGAGGGAAAGAAAAAAGCCAGCGTTATCTGCCTTTGTCAGCGAAAGAACATAATATTGACTTACCTTTCCCCACAGCTATTGTCTGCCCCTTTACAAAATGACATCACGGAAACCAATCATGAAATTTACATGGGGGAGGTTGTGGGGGGAGAGTTCTTGGAGGGCAGCCCACTTCCCTACACCAGTAACACGCGTGTAAGACGGGTTGTTGGTGTCAATTAAATATCTGATACTCCTTAGTGTGTGAACTCTTAAGCCTGCTAAAGGCAATGTCTCATTTACTTAATGACCGCTCTCATTAATGGAAATGGCACAGAGGGGGCTTGCTGCGCCTTCCCTTTGTAAATACACTACCCATGAACCCTTGGGGTTGCAATATATCTGTTTACTCTCCGAGGTGAAATAAATTTACAGTATAGCATCAAAGAGAGAGGCAGAGAGAGATGGAGCCGCGGACTGGAGCGCACCGAGAGTTGGGGCTCTCCCGGTCCCTTTCGCCTCCTGCTCCCCCTCCCCGAGCCCCAGCAGAAGGTGAAGGATTTTACCCGAGCTGATTCATAATTAATATGCACGAGGCTCGGGGCTCCTTTGATAGCAGGCACACAAAAGGACGGCGACAAGCGCCGTGGCGTGTGTGTCCCCCCCTCCGCGCATCCCAGCGCGTGGTACGGCCCAATAATTCCTAATAGCAGCAAGCAGCGAGTGACAGATGCCCTGGGTTAGCACAGCTCCAGCGAAAGTACTTTACAATATTTATTGGTGGTTAGGAAGATGACCTATCACCATAAAGAACAGACTGGGAAATTTATCGCCTCTACGAACCTGGAAGTATTGCCTACTAGCTGATATACATATTCAAAAGCAAGTGGTTAAAAGGTATATAAATAGTTGTGTTTTTTCCCTCCTCTTTAAAATTAAATAAGAAATGTCAGACTATATTCCCAACAGACATCACCTCACCCCGGGAAGGACGGATTGTGGCTCAGGTGGTTACATTTTGGGCTTTGTGATGGGAGGGAGAATAACACAGGGAGAAGTCCTAAAAGAAAACTGTGACTAAAATAGTTTGGGGATTGGTTCTGAGCAAGTGAAGTGTGTGTTCTTCCATTACATCACTTTCCAGGAGCTACTATTACGCTTCTGTTCAGTGGAAAGCTGGCCACCCAGGAGGAGAAAGCGCTCACCAAGCTGGAGGGATGCTCTGGGGACAGACCCCGGCCCTGTGCAGAAGGAAGGGCATTAGCACATCCCCTCTGCCTGTCTGTCCCCTGCCAGACAGCAGCATTAGCACCTGGATTACAACTTTTTGGAAGCAGCAGGGAACACACAGGCAGCCCCATAGGATATGGGGAGGGGGGTGTAGGTGGTCACCTTTCTACCCAGTGCTTTTCCCCAGCACCACTGGGACGATTAAGACTTTACTGTCATCTTAATAAAGGCTTCCAAAAAGATGCAGGAGTGCACAAATGGATAGAAACCCCAGGAGCCTTTAGAGAGCTCGGAGAGCAGAGGCAGAGCCTGGCACAGAGTTGAATCCTGCTGGGGATGTGCTCTCCTGCAGGAAACTCCAGCTCCAGAGCTGCAGGAGAGCTCCAACCACCCCTTTCCAGGTCATCCCTGCCCAGGCCACGTGAGGCATGGTCAGGAGGGGGAAAAACCTCTCAAGCTGCCTGAGGTTTCAGCCCATGTGTGTTTATGAGCTTCCTGCCTAGCAGTGTGGGCTGTTGGAAGTGCTGCATGTAGCCCATAGACCATTCTTGGGTGCATAACAGGGGGGAGTGAGTCAATTCCCCATCTCAGGTGTTTTATTGAGGAGAAGGTGACAAAAGTACTAGTTTTAAACTGTTGAGGCCGCACTGGAGACTCTTAGGATGCAGTTTTCCATGCCTTGTGAGCCTGGTGTGCTCCTAGACCATTAACATAAAAGAGGTATTCAGCGGAGAGTACTCCTGAAAAGCTGCTTTCTATCTCCTTTGGACACACCACGAAAGACAGGGATATTTTACATCCTAAACCTTTGGCATTCAGAAATTCTATTAAACTCTTATCTGCAGGCAGCAGGCCTGGTGCTACACTGCATCTCCATTGTTCTGCACCCGTGATAGAATCAAAGGGAGGGATGGGTGGACTCAGCTCCTCTCTGCTCACAATGCTGCTTGGTCCCCTCCACCACTACTTAATTTCAAGATGCACTGTTAAAACTTGAGAAACAAAAGCACAATAGATGGGATAGAAGGCAGGAGGGAAGCGTGCTTACTTGCATGTTTCCACACAAATTTATGTGCACACACACACTGCACGTGTGTGAATATGCACATCTTCTGGGGACATTCCATCTGGACACAAGAGGAACATTTTTCACAATCAGCCATTGAAATAACCTCCCAAGGAAGTGGTGGATCCCACTTGTAAGACTCAGCTGGACAGGGTGCTGAGACATCTAGTCTAGGTCATGCTTCACCAAGAAAGGCCGGATCAGATGATGCACGAGGTTCCTTCCAACCTGGGATTCTATGACTCTATACCTGCGCCTCTCCAGCTGTTAGTACATATTAATTTTTATCACTGTTGTTGCATTTATTACCATGCAACTCACCAAGGATCCCTAAGGCAGCTGACAGCATTGATACCATTCGATTAAGCTCTGGGTTGCAAAAGAGTGTTTGGCGTTTCTTTGTCCCCAAACTCAGACTTTCCCTTCCCCTCAAACCCTTCCAAAACACTGCAAACACTCAGAAAGGGACCCACAGTTTCCAATCACCTCCAATTTCATCGGCTGGCAGAAATTCCCATCTCACAGCTCCCAAATCCCTCCTCAGCCCCCAGTGTCTCCGGGCACACATACACCATCCCCAAGCTGGAGGAACCCGAGAGGGAAGCGAGGCCATGTGTGGGCCAGGCGGGCCACTGGTCAGCACCACGGCCGCGGACAGCTCCCATCACCCCACCGCTCCTCACCCCCTTCAGCATCTTGCAACCTTTTTGGGGGGATTTGGGGCTTTTCTGACCTCTTCAGAGTCACTTTACAGCAGTTTCCAGGAAAGAAATAATTACTGTGTGGTCCCAGGTCGGGAAGAGCTGCTGCTTCCCTATGGGAGCCGCACAGCAGAGAGGTATTCAATACATATTCATGTATTTTCGCGTTGTTTGAGGCAGGAGCAAGAGGATCGCTGCCTGCCTGTCCCCCGCAGAAGCGAATGCCAAAAGGGTTTGTAAAAGTAGATTCACTTCGCACACAAATCGCCGTGCAATTTATTAACAAACATAATAATAATCCTGCTCTGCTCCTGTTTTCAGATCAAACGTTTCAAGTTTGAGATTATTCAAAATAAAGCTGCTTTTGCTTGTGTAAATACAGGCATAAAACCGCCACATTGCATTTCGCTGGCTTCTTTGAGGCCGTTTCAAAGCAAATTAGATCTCAAACTTTATGCATTTGTAATTGGCACCAACTTCTCCGGTTACCAGCTGGGGGTGAAAGATTTCTCTTCCTTTTTTTTTTCCCCCCCCTTTCCTTGTTTCTTTCTGAAAGCTTCTATGCAGATGGGCTGACTGCCTTAATGCCTCAGACTACAATTAGTGCTGTTGTATGCCGAATAGAAATGGCCAGCATTAATATTGTATATGGAACAGCTGAAGGGTTGCGAAGAAACCTGCCCACTACAGGCCCCTGGCAGATGGAACAACATGCACAGGCACAAAAAAAAACTTCTAATAACCCTTTGCTCGTTCTCCAGAGCGCCCCTTCCCCCCGATCTGGGCGGCTCCTTCCCGAAGGGGCAACGCCTTTGTCTCACCCAAACCTTGAGCTCTTTTTCTCCCCGAAGAACAACAATTGGAGCAATCACCGTCTTTTTGCTCGCATTATCCCTAAACTTACTCCTTTGTTCCCGGGTTAATTCAGGCACCAAAACACATTCAGCTGAGCAGGCAGCAAACAACTTTGTACTTAGTGGCATCCTCCTCACCCTTTCATTATCCAGCAATGTGCAAGTGGGGCATAAAAATAAACACGCAAAAGCAAACCGAACACCACCACCCCCAGCAGAAGTGTGACCAGAAGCGGCAGAAAACAGGATTTTCTCCCTCCTCCCTACCCAGTCCTTTGTAGTTAGGTGAAACCCACAGCAGCAGGGACAAAGCCCCGCTGGTGCCCCGGAGTGGCAGCATCCACCCCCCCCCCCCATCCCCCGTATCCTTTCGCAGCTGAGCCCGGTACCGACAAACACGAGAAACCTGCGCTTTGAAACCTCTTTCCACCGGGGATAAAACATCGTAAAACAAGGGGGAACGGAGGACTTTGTGCGTCCGCAACCCCCCTTTTTGGGTGGCTTAAGCAGAATTAAGCTGCTAGAGCGATTTAGATGGGAAACATGGGGGGAATCGCTCAGGAACACCCATCCACACTCACACCCCCTCCCCACTCTGCCGGCAAACGGCTACGAACCGAGGAAGGTCCCGCAGAGCTTCATCCTTGCCGGGAGGCGGCGGGAGCCGTGGCCCGTGCGGGAGCGGGGCCGCCGCCGTGGGGTTACTCCATCCGCCCTGGGAAAAGTTGCGTCCGGAGCAAAAACTTATGTGCAGCGGCGGCCAATGGGACCTCGCCGCAAAATCACTGCGGCGCACTCGGCGGCCAATCCGCGGGGGCCCCGCACAATGGCTCTGGGGGGTGTGCGTGTGTGTTTGACCCCCCTCCCTCCCCGCTATCCCCCCTGGATGGGCAGGGAAGGGGGGAAGCTGGGGAAGGGCACCCATCCTCAGTCGTGTGAGGGGCTCACTGCCTTTCATTGGGAGAGAGGTGAAGTGATAACATCCACATCCCGGAGGGGGTAGGAAGCCCTGTCCAGGCAAAGCAGCCCCAGGGAGCCTGATCTGCACCCATTATGTCAGTGAGACCCCAAAACACACTCTATGTGCTTGTGGAGTGGGAATCCTCCCCAGCTAACCCTAGGCTGAGCAACCATGTGGCTCTGAGCAGCCAGCGG